CCCCCCCCCCCCCCCCCCCCCCCGGTCATAGTGCAGAGAGCCCTCACCATCTGGCGGAACGCCTTAGAGTCCTTGGTCCGGGAGAAGGCACGGTCAGGCGCCCATCGTGGCATCAGTCCTTCCATGGAGTTGGCCCGTGTCCGTTGCAGCTTGGCCAGCATGGCTTTCTCCTCTTTCTGCGTAAGCAGCATAAGCGCAGGCTCAGAAGTAGAACCCCAAGAATGCCTTTGCTAGCACCTCCCAGTTTGCTCCTTCCCCCCCCCGCCCCTCCCAGCAGTCCTGCCCTGACCCGTTTCTGGCTGGCGCCCAGGATGAGGAAGGTCTCGATGCATTGCTCCTTGAGGTATGCGTTGCGCTCACCGCCACGGCCTGGTTCCACTTCATAGTCCCCATTCAGGTACTGCAGTGTGGCCCGAGTGATGTGGATACGACTGTATGGGGCCAGGAGGTAAGACCCTGGCTCTCCCAGCCACCCACCCCAGCCACCAACCGGAGCCTTCCACTCACCCGGCCCGGCCCCCAGCCTCCATGTGATTGGCCAGGGTCACATCATTGGACCACACGTCAAACTGCCATTTCCGCAGGCCAAGGACCCCGCAGTGTACACGTCCACTGTGGATGCCCACACGCATGTTCACATTTACACCTGTCACTTCACGCACCAGCCTGGGGAGACGTAACTCCAGATCAGCTCCAAGCTGTCTTCTCGTCCTCTAGTCAAGAACCCAAGCTGAGGCCAGGAAGATGGCTCAGTGGTAAAGGCACTTGCTACCAAGCCTGACTGCCTGAGTTTGATCGCTGGGATCCACACAATAGGAGAAAATGAACTCCAAGTTATCCTCTGACCAGCATACATGCACCATGGGAGGTGTATCCATCCATCCATATATACATAGAGCAAATAAATAAATGGGCACAGCTTTGACTAGGCATGGAGCTACCCAGGACTCAAGGACAAGGGTTTGAGAACTATGTTCAACAGTGGCTGCCACTGTCCTGTAGGGCTGAGCTACTGCCAGCTCCGGCCAGCTTGGCTGGCATTCTCTGCAGTCACAAGCCCCTCCTGCTTCAGCTCTCTACACCCTCCAGCAGGCTAGGGTCAGAAAGAGCACAGGGGTCTTCGCACAGATTGGGGAAAGACCCACTCCCCTCCCCAGTGATACTACTCCCCAGGGGCACTACTCACGAGATGGCCTCGATCATGTCCACTCCCATATCCACACAGCAGTGGGCGTGGTCTGCCCGGGCCTCGGGCAGCCCTGACACGCAGTAGTAACAGTCTCCTAGGATCTTGATCCTCAGACAGTGATTCTCCTGGAGGGGAGAAGATGGAGGACCACCATCACCCTCCTGATCATTGGGCACACCTGGCCCACCACCTTCAATGCAACCTCTTCCCCCACGGCCCCCCCCCAAATGCTCCCAGCAACGCTGTGTGGGCATCACGGTTGGCACTATCCCTAAGCCCCAGCACCCTCACCGCAGCCAGCTTGTCAAACCGGGCAAAGAGCTCATTCAAGGTCATGACCAGCTCCTGCGCAGTGCACTGGGAGGCTAGGCTGGTGAAGCCCTCGATGTCTGCAAACAGGATGCTGTGGACAACAGCAGAAGAGAGATGGAGCCTCCTAGCCCTCAAGGACTCCTTGGCACCTGGCGACCCTCTTGGCATCGTCCCCTGTCCCATTCTACCTGACATTATCATGCTTCTGGATGTAGATCTTATGGAACATCATGTCTTCTTTTTTCGTGTTGATGTCTTCTTTCATCTCCATGGCAACATGCTGGGGCAACACCGATAGCAGCAGCCGTTCCTAGACCAGTGGTTCCAACCACTATCCTTTTTGCTTTCCATTTTGATCCTTCTTGTTTCTTCCACATTCCCAGAGCCCTCCCACATCTCTGTGACCTGAGGGTCCCTTCTGGACCTCGGCCTGACACTGCTTTTGGAAGCCACCCTTCCTAGCTCTCTCGGACCAATCTCCATTCAACGTCCCCCCCCCCATGTACTCCTATATGTTTCCTCCCACCCTTGAACAGGACAGGACCCCCAGGAGCTTTTGTGATGCACAGTTCTCGGTAACCACTCACACTGTGTTGCATAGGTACGGGCAAGGCAAGGCGGCAGGTCTGATCCACAGGGTACTGGGGGTGAAGAGAGAGGAACGCCCTAGCTAAGGGAAGTGGCCCCCACCTGCTGGCGATTCTCATGCTGCAGGTGCAAGCGAGCCTGGATGTAACCTCGGGTCTCCTGAAAGGCTTGGCGCTGAGACACTTCAGCAGGGTAGTGTGTGCAGATGCCGATGACGTTGGTGCAGAGGAAGAGCACCACATTAGCACCGAGCTGGAGGAGAGCGCAGGCAGATGAGTGACCACCTGTGCACCTGCACATCCACTCACACGCGCATACTAGTTCCCGGGCTCTCCGACATACTTTGAGCAGGAAATAAAGTCCTGTGCCCTGTTGGACCCCATGCTGTGCCATTCCTGTGATACACTGTCCCTCCCCACAGAACTCTAGATCCCAGCCTGCCTGGATTATTCTGTGACCAGAAACAGGAACACCGACCACAGCTACAAAGGTTATGGGCTCAGACCCGGCACCCTATAATCTCCCACCCACGAACAATGCTAACAAAAGACAAGTGTTCCTTCTGCATGCGGTCTCCTCACAGTGCAGCACCAAGGAGGTCTGAGCTTCCCGTCCTCTTCTGGGTAAACCAGGTGAACCAGGACAAGTCACTTCCTCTCTCTAGGCCTCCAGTTTACTCAAACAGGAGGAATGCTATCTCTAAAGGCAGCTCTTCCCCCTTCCCGCATAGCTCTGCAGACTGAATAACAAGAACGACCACTATTGGGTTTTGTTTGTTACTTTGGTTGGTTGAATTTTTGAGATAGGGTCTCACTATGTAACCCAGGCTGGCCTCAAACTCACAGCAATCCTCCTGCCTCAGATTCCCAAATAATGGGATCACAGGTGTAAGCCACTATTACAGATTGTTGCTATAGTAGCCAGTTTGCTGGCCACCTGCAATGTCTAGGACTCTAAGGACGCACTCTAGACATTAACTGACGAGTCTGCAGAGGTGACAGCATCTCAGTTCACAACTGAGAGAGTCAAACACAAAGGGGCCCAGTCACTTGCCCGAGATCCCACAGCTGGTTATGGCTGGCGTGAGACTTGAATCCTTTGTCCCAACCCCGCCGTCTAATATATCCCACATTTCTGAAAGTTCTTTCTCCACTGATCCTCTCTCTTGAAGGCCAGTCTCAGCACGGGCTCGGCAGCCATCAATTCTACTAGTAGAAAGAACGCACGGCCACCCCTACCACAAAGTGTGATTCTCCCCCTTTCCTCTCCCCCCTCCAACTCTCACACACACACCTCTTCAAGGCCTCATGCCTACGCCGTGCAGCACAGCCAGCCTATGTACTTTCCGCTGTCAGTGCACAGGGTGGTCGTACTGACAGTGATTTGGGACTGGATACTGGGAGCGAGTGCAAGGGAAGCTTGCCTCACAGCTGCTGGAGACTCAGGGGTTAACACAGCGGAGCTGGGACTCCACCCAAGCTGCTTGGGGCAGGGCTCTGGTTAGGGAGCTGGGAGGGGATGCACACCTACCACCCTGAGCCAGAACTAGCCCTGCAGACTTGGACAGGACATTTCATCTTTGATTCGTCTGTGTAAAACTGAGGCCTGTAACTCCCAGCTCCTGACTCTAGCACTGACCCTCTAGCGCTGGCCTTCGCTGCCCTTCCCAGTCCAGGCAGCTTCCAGAGGGCCCATGCAGAGCTCTCCTCTCAGGAGCAGGGGTGAAGAGGGGGCACTCCGTCTCCCTTGGGGGCTTCTAAGAATAGCCCCCAGAGGGGGAATAGGAGGGGGGCAATCCAGGCAACTTCCCTTCCTGGCCCCAGGAGCCCCAGAGGAAAACGTGAGTCACAGTGGAGGGAAGGGGAAGAGGGATGAGGGACTGAAATAACCCACGACACACATATCCCTATCTCCCGTGAGAAAAAAATGGAAGCCGAGCTCTGGGGGCCACTCCAGTCCAACCAACGTCGTTGCTCAGTGTGTCTGAATGAGTGGATCAGGAAGAAGAGTTCTTCCTATGACTGTGAATGGGGCTGGAGCTGGGAAGGGGCCGCCCAAGGAGGCCACAAGCCCCTACTCCATGCAGAAACACAACTTCAATGGGCACATGAGATTGTTGTCAGTTCCGAGAAGCTGAATGGGCAGTCCCAGCCCCACAGATGGGCACAAGCAGCACAATTTTCTCTACCATCCCAGGAATGCATCTGCAGAGACCCCACGGGGTGAAACTGAAGCCAGGCACCCCGGGGAGGTAGGAGGCTGGCAGTTCCGGGGCCTCCCAGGCTCAACCTCCCCCATCAGGCACTGGGCTGGGCCCTGGGCACCAGGCCAGCAGAGAGCAGGGAAGAGTCACACACCCACCTTCTGGCAAGTCTGGCAGAAGGGGGAAGGGAGGCCCCACTCCTAAGCTTCTCCCCTAGAAGAGCAGTTCTCCCCAAGCCCCCACTTCACAGTTTAAGAAGAGAACCTAGGAACTAGCACAGATAGGACTGGCCCTTTAAGAGGTCTGATACTGCCCTGTGGGCACTTGCTGCACCACGAACTAGCTATAAAGTTACTTTTAAAAGGTATGTTCTGTTCCAGGCCAAGAAAGGCATCATGCCAAAGCACCCAGCTTCTCACCCCGGAGCCCCAGGCAAATTTCTGTTGGTGAGGCCACGGTGGGCTGCAGCCCCTGGCAAGGAGAAGGGAGGGGCCTTGCCTGCGGAAGCTTCATATAACCACCTACAGGGGCATCCCAGAGCTGACACCAGAGCTTGAATCTCAGGGGTCAACAAGAGGTCAGAGATGCAAGGCCTGCACACAGCATGCCTGCAGACTACACCACCTCTTCTGACCTAGACCAAAGAGCTGAGATTCTGACACAGTACAGACTGGGTCCTGGGACTCACCCACTGATACAAGTCCCTGAGACCCCAGCCTGATGGATCTAGACATCCATATACCCTCTCCCAACTCAGCAAGTCCCCTTCCCACTCCCACCCGGTGAGTCACATGGCACCTACCTGCTTCCAGAGGAAGGGGTCACCACGGTTGAGCTGCCAGGCCAAAATCAAATGCAAGGCGGAAAGGCCCAGGCCACTGAATACTGCTGCGCGCATGCGGATGGGAAGGAGCGTGTAGGTGATGTAGACGAAGAACACCGGGCACCAAAGGCCTGCCGAGGGGCTGTGTGGGTTGGCTGCCAGGGCACCTCCGACTTGCACAGCTGCGAGGATGCCCAGAACCACATAGCTTACCACCCACATGGAGTCCTGGCGGAAGCTATGTCGGTTACACACTACCATGAGCGCCACAAAAAGGGTGGCGGCACAGGTGAGAAGGGCCACATAAGCAGGCTGAGGCCGGGCGGGTGCAGCATGGAAGGCCAAGAGCACGGCCGCGAGAAGCACAAGCACGGCCATGAGGAGTGTGAGGCTGCTCTGGTTCATCTGGAAGAAGTACCGCTGGTACAGGCGCTCCAGCTTGGCGGAGCGGAACTGCTTAGACTGGAAAACCTGCACGAGACGGTGCCAGCAGGACTGACTGCTCCTGGGCGACGTATCAGGTGCCACTTCAGCTGTCCCCACTGGGTTTGTCACCTCAGTGTCCTCGAAACCCAAGGCCACTGACCGCAGCCCCAGCTCCATACCCCTGCCTGGGCCAGCCCTCCTGATGAAGGCCTCATCCTGCCAGGGGCACCGCGTGTGAGCCGCGGGAGTGGGGCTGGGTGGCTCGGCATCCTTAAGGCAGCTCATGTAGCGAGGTGCGCAGAAGCCACTGGCCCGAGTCCCATGGCGTGGGCGCTTCTGCCCATTGCGTTCGCCCCAAGCTGTCTTCCGTTCATCCACTTTGGGAACCAGGAGGCCACTAAACCATGACATGCTGCTGGGAGGAAGGGCATGGGGTGGTATTAATACCACTGCTGTGGCCACAGTCACCATAGACGCTTATTCCCTGAGCGTTTCCTACAGCTCTGTTCTCCTTCCCACATCTGATAAAACCACCCTGAGGGGGGCAGTAGCTTCCCCACTCAACAGGTAAGGATCTGGGACGTAGAGAGGTACAGAAGACACAGCAACCATATGAGGAAAAGAACCAAGAGTCTGAAGGCTGGAGAGATGGTTCAGAGGTTAAGAGCAGTGACTGCTCTTCCAAAGGACCCCCGGTTCAATTCCTAGCACCCACATGGCAGCTCAGAACTGAGTTCCAAAGGATCTGACATCCTCGCATACATAGACACACATGCAGGCACATTACCAATGCACATAAAAGTAAATTTTAAAAATTAAGAAAAAGAAGATTCTAAGCTTGACCGAGCCCCAAAACCAGTACACTTAATAATTTACCCTATTATCCTTCCCTAATGTTAATAGCGACTTGCTTGTTTGTTTTGTTTCGTTTTTTGAGACAGGGTTTCTTTCTGTAGCCTTGGCTGTCCTGGAACTTGCTCTGTAGACCAGGCTGAGCCCTAAACTCCCAGAGATCCACCAGCCCTGCTGCCCAAGATCTGGGATTAAAGGGGTTAGCCACCACCACTCGCTAGTATAGGCTTCTTCATCACCACAAACTCAGATTCCCACACCAAGGACAAGGAGAAGAACACATCTGTCAGACTGAGACATGGGGACAAGAACACCTAGTACCAGTTGACCAGTGCCATTGGTGCCCCACTGGGGCCCGAACTTCCGGTTTTTTTTTTTCAGCAGAAGCCAAAGAAAACCTTGCATTTCAATGTAACATCTCTCAATTTTTAAATGCTATTAATTAATATATATTTTACAATACTACACACAAGCCAAATAAACCCTACCAACAGAATAAGTGGACTGCCAATTGGTGACCTCTATACAAAAGGTACTCTCTTTCTACATCCTTCCTCATCACGCACATACACACACATACACATACATACATGCACACATAAACACGTATATACATGTACACATACACTTATACACACACACACACACACACACACACACTTCAGCAAGCTAAATTTGATTTCTCCCACAGGTCACAGCTCTGAGTGTTACTTCCTCACAGAAGACCTCCCAGACCCACCCCTAGACTAAGCCTGGTCCAGTTTCACCTCTGTTCATTTCCTCCATGGTACTTACTACAATTTTCAATTAAAGCATTCCTTGTTTAATGTGTGCCTCTGCCCCTAGGACTATAAGCTCTGCGAGAGTAGAAATTACACATATTTTGGCCAGCACTTTATCTCCAGAGCCAGGTACTGGGTCTGGCTAACAGTAGGTGCTCAATAAATGTACAACAAAAAAAGACAAAAGAGGATGGGCATGAAGTAGAATTTGGTAGTAAAATGCTTGTGCAGAATGCACAAAGTCTCGGGGTCCGTGCTTAGTACGACAGACGACAGGCAAGACAGACAGATGGGAGGCAGCAGGAAGCATGGACGCTGTGAGGTGCTGCTAACAATGGCAGCCCTCATCTTCCTCAGCACACCTGCCATACTGGCGAGGCTGCTGCTCCCCTGTACACCGAGCTCCGTGCAGACTAGCACCCGGGACTCACTGTTCCCATGTGGAACAAGAGCTCCTTCAGGTCACAGCCCAAGGCCCTTATCAGTGCTACTCTCACCAGCCTATTAAAATAGCAACTCCCTTTCCTGGGGCTCCCTATCTCTCTTCCCAGCTTTATAATGTTTCTCCCTCCGAGGCCCTTATCAGCAACGGCCATTCTATAACTTTTCTCATTTGTTCATTGTCTGTCACTCCTAACTGGAATGCCAACTTGATGAAGGCAAGGATTTGGGCGGATTTTTCATACTGTAGGGTCTACCACTCCTACATGCTGGCTGGGTGATGGACGGCTGTTAGCTGTATTTTCTCTGCCATAAACCATGCACGCCTAATTTCATCTGTTTTTCACCAAAAGCCTGTGAAGCTGGTCCTAAGACCCAGAGGACAGGCAGTGGGGACACAGGACACATTTGAAAGAGAAAAACAAAAGGTGATGTCCAGGACAGATGACTATGACTCAGCCATGTAGAGACCCTGGACAACCAAATCAGTCTTAGATCAGGGATTTGCGGGAAGGACAAGCCTTGAAGTGCAGTGGTGGCTCCATGACAACCACCTTACCATGTGTTCTGGCAGAGCCAGGTCATCCATGGATGCCGCCACCACCACCAGGGTCACTCTCCTCCATGCCTGCCGGGCACCCTGAAGGGCCCCTTGTACTTACACTTGCTGAGCTGGCAGCACTGACATTTGTACTCACTGGGGAACTAGACAGAAGCTAACACACCACCTGCCCCAGGAGGCCACAGAACCAGACACTTCTAAGAACAACTCTCCAAGTAGCTGCCGGGGGGACCCAAAGCAAGACATGAGCCAGGGACTTCTCTGCACTCCATATTGGGGGATCTCCCTCAGCAAGTTCTGCCAGTGCCCTTCCTACAGCCACAGGGTAGCATGCCCTTCAGCTTCTTAACGCCAACGGCACCATCATGAAGGGCAAATCAGAAGTACAAGACTTCTGGTCAGGCTGGCATTTGGAAAAGGTCACCAAAGACACCCTGGCTCTTCCAAACACTTCACTGGAAGCATGATCTTTGGCACAAGACCAGATTTCAAAGCTTAAAGTGATTTCCCATCCTGCTGGGACAGGCTGTCTACCTGCCCCCACTGTCGGTTTCTTCGTCTGAAAAGTGAGAGTGTACAGGTCTCTGCCATGTTGTACACTACAGATATTAGTTCTCTGCACCTTACACACCTTTGAATGCAAAACTCTGCCAGAGGCCAAGGGATGGAAAGACAACACTCAGGCAAGAACATGTATCCCTCCAGCCAATCAGATGCCTGCGTCTATCAGGCCCTATGTCCCCTGCTGTCAGTCTCCAGAGCTGCTGGAGACAGAACACAGAGTGCAGTTCCCACCATGCACCCCTGGACTCCACACGCCATGACATTCTGCTTCCGCCTCCTCCCATTCCCCAGTCCCCTTCCCCGTTCTTATCTCCCTCCCCGCAACTGGCCCAGGTTCCCAAAGGACCTGCTTCTGGCCATGTTCCCAGCCCCTGGAAGCACATCCCAGCATCTGGCTCATACACACAGAGGAAGGGGCAGACATTATCAGGGAAACATATGACCCTTGAAGAACATGCTGACTCCCCAAGGGGATCACTTCAGAGTTCTGTAACTGTTCAACCAATTGCAACCATCCCACCCTAGAGAGCTGGTAGGGCTCGCGGCACTCCTCTGTGCCAGCTCAGTATATATAGCAGGAAACCAGAAGGCATTGTTACAAGCCACAAAACTCCTCTATATGTTCCCCCAAACTCCCTGTTCCGGGACCCCTCACCGTGAATTCCAAAAGCGCAGACCATGTCCCTCTTCCGCCTTCAGGCTCTTGAGCCTTGTGCCTTTGACCTCCTCCTCCCCTGAGTCCTGGTCCCTTGGCTCCCTCTCACAGATATGTTGTTCCACACACCAACAGCTCCCACAGCCAAAGTCATGTCCATTCGGAGCCAAGTCCCATAGTCCCCGTGTCTCCCAGACCTCAAGTCCCTCCCAGATCCTGCTCCTTCAGCCTGAGCCCAGGGTCTGGAAGCCAAGGCTTGGCCTCAAGAATGGCTCTGCCCACACTTTCGCCCAACCCTCTTCCTGGCCACCTCTTGGCCACCTCATCCCCAGGGTCTGTCTGCCTCTGCCCTTGTTGGCAAAAGGGCTTAAAGGATTTCAGAAAGTTCACGATGCCCGCGGAGGGGCGAGGGGGGAGGCCCGACACTCACCATGCTGGAACCCAACCCTCTCAATTTCCAGGCCCTTCCAGATGTAGAAGAACCTCCCCAGGGCCTGTAGGTTCAACACAGCCTACCCCAGCCCTGCTTCTCCCTAAGGACCAAAAAAAAAAAAAAGGCTCCCATTGCCAGCTCCAACCATACAACACCCCTCTGGTTACAGAGACACTCTGGGGACCCAGGTACACGGAAAGGCTCTCCAACCACCTAATCCCATCTCTGGCTTTTCAGTCAGGCCGCTGGGCCTACTCTGAATAAAGTCTGCCCACACCACACCCCACCCCTGCCCACCCCGCCACAGGCCTTAGGGAAGTAGGCACTGACACTACCCTTTCATTCCAAAGGTTCAGGGTGAGGGCAGGGAAGGGGCCTCCCTCGCCTCTCAGCGTAGTCTCAACCCCCCATCCCCGATGCCAACCTCTAGGGGCATCTCCTCCCCTCGTGCATGTCTTCCCAGCCTCTCTGGGCAAGCCTGGAAACTCTGGGGAGTGCAGGAAGAGAAGCTCGTGGCGTGGAACGAGGGTGGAAGCTTCCAGCCCGACCCGAGGAGCCCCGGGTTCCCAGCTCCTCCAGCACTTCCCCAGAGCCCCGCAAACTGTCCAGACTACCCAGTCCTCGCTTCGCTGGCCTCGCTGGAACCCGCTCCCCCGCGCTCACCTGCCCGGGGTCGGCGCCTGCCCGGGGTCGGCGCCCCGCCGCGCCCGCGGGCTCCGGCCGGCCGGCCGGCCGTCCCGCCGTCCTGCTCCGTGCCCGCGCGTCCCTGCTGTCCCGCCCGCCGCGCCGCAGAGCCTCCGGCCCTCGCCCCCTCCCTTGTTGTCCAGCGCAGCCGCCCTCTACCCCGGATCCAGAAGTCCCCTCCCCGCCGGCTCCCGGACTCCCCGCCTTAAAGGCACAAGCTCCTTTTGTCTGGGCACCCCCTCCCCCTCCCAGAGGCAGGGGCACAGCTGCCCACTCCCCTCCCCGGGACCCGAGTCGGGTGAGCGAAGCCAGAGTCCCGCGCGCCCCCGCCCCTGTCCGCTGCGTCTTTCCCGGGTCTCCCCCGAACAAGCAGCCACTGTACTGCGCTTCAGACCCCGCGGGAGGGTCGGTACTCCCGCCCGCGCTCCCGCCTCCACCCAGGGCGGCATCCTGCAGGGTGCTCCCCGCCCTCACCCGGGGGTCCGCAGAGGCCGGCGAAGCCACCCACTGGCTGCGAAGATGCCCGCCCCGCCCAGAGGGTCGGCTTCCTTCCTGTCGGGGTGCCCTGCGCCCCCTCCTCACCCCACCTTCCTCCTAGCCCCAGCCCCCACCCTGCCCGCTCGCCCTCCCTTCCCATCGCGGCCCCGCTCCCTCCGGCGGGAGCTGAGTTTAATAATTAATTAAGATTTCATTCCACAAGGCGCCAGGTGTGTGCGCCTGGCACCCGCTCGCCCGCACCCCACTTCTTTCCGCTTCCCCAACCCTCTGGGGCGCCGGGCCCGACGCAAACCTGCTGTGCCCAGAACCGGACCGGGCCGCGGGCAGGGGCATTCTCGGTGCCGCCCTCTGGCCCCACGCTCTCTGGGGCAGCCCTTCCCCCGCACCTGCCAACTGGCAGAGTCCCTCCCCCCCCCTCCCCGGCACCTTTTACCCAAAGGGTTGTGCTTCTTTGATGTGGGGGGCTGGGGTGCACTGCCAGGTTCATGAACTGAAAAATTGTTCCGGGATGTTTATTCATTTCCCTTGCAAGCAGCTGCCCAAGTTACCTGGGAGATGGGAAAATCATGTGAAAGCCACTTTAACCCTTTGAGGCGTGGAGAGGTGGAACCAGAAAGGAGAGAAAGGCCCATTCCTGGGCAGTAGGTGAGTCTGGTTTAAGCTTGCCTTTGAGTCCCCTCATCAATCCCTCAGCCAGACCTGTAGCTGCCCTAAAACCAGGCGATCTCTCCCTACATTCTCATCCTTCAAGGCCTAACTGTGGACCATTCCAGATCCTATCTGGGCTTCCTAAACCAAAGACATTTGTGGTAAGGAGAGGTCCTTGCATTAATCTAACATCTATCAGATGCCTGGCATATTAGCATGCACACACACACACACACACACACACACACACACACACACCTTTAATCCCAGCACAGGAGGCAGAGACAGATGGATTACTGTGAGTTCAAGGCTAGCCTGGTCTACATCGTGAGTTCCAGGACAGCCAGGGCTACATAGTGAAACCCAGTCTCAAAAAATAAACAAACAAAAAAACTACTGTGGATAAAGTGTCCCTTCCTATCTTGGCGCCTCACCCATAAGTGGGTGTAATTATGCTCTTTCACACGGGAGTCTCAGGTTCAGATAGGAAAGAGCCGGTTGTAATGTTTGAAAATGAAAATGAAGCCAGGCCGTGGTGGCGCAGGCCTTTAATCCCAGAACTCAGGAAGCAGAGGCAAATGGATCTCTGTGAGTTAGAGGCCAGCCTGGGCTACAAGAGCTAGTTCCAGGACAGGCTCCAAAGCTACAGAGAAACCCTGTCTCGAAAAACCAAAAAAGAAAAAAGAAAGCAAGAAGAAAGAAAGAAAGAAAGAAAGAAAGAAAGAAAGAAGGAAAGAGAAAATGAGAAAGTGGCCTGGCTGGAGATGGGTCAGTTAAGAGCTCTTGCCTCTCAGACCTTCTGCATTTGGTTCCCAGCACTCACTCCAGCTCCGAGGGATCCCACACCCTCTTCTGGCTTCAAGGCCCTGGAACACTTTAATGAGAAAGTGGTGTCTATTCTGCCACATGTGGCTCTCAGTTGGCCAGTCAGGGACTGAACTGACTGACATCTCTCTTCAAGGAGCAGGTCCTTCCAGCACTGTCGAGACCCCTTTCCATACTAGTCAGGAGCAACCACTACTCACCTTTTAAAGTAATATAGTTTGGGATCATGTGGGGAAACGCACTAGGCAGTTGAGATAGAGAAAGGTGGTCTGGAGGCTGGACACACTTAGGAGCAATTGAGAGAGCACTTGCTGCTTTTCCAAAGGCTCCAGCCTTGCTTCCTAGCACCCACATGGCAGCCCACAACCAACCATAACCCCTCTCCCAGAGGATCTGAGGGCCAGATGGGCACCGGGCACACATTTGCTAGAGACAGGCATGCAGGCAAAACACCCATACACATAAAATAATGTTTTGTTTTGCTTTGTTTTGATAGGGTCTCTCTATACAGCCCAGACTGCCCTGGAACTTGCCATATAGATAGGCTAACCTTGAACTCACAGAGATCCTCCTGCCTCTGCCTCCTAAGTACTAGAATTAAAGGTGTGTGTCACCACACACAAAATAATTAAAATAATTAATTATTAAAAATGTCACAAGCTAAAGAATCGCCTCAGTGGCTAAGAGCATTTGCAGAGGACCCAGATTGATTCCCAGCATCCATATGACAGCTCACAACCGTCTTTAACTCCAGTCCCAGGAGATCCAACACCTTCTTCTGACTTTTGGCACCAGGAACACATGTGGTATATGAACATACATGCAGGCAAAACAGCCATACACATAAAATTATAAAAACTAGTGTTTTTCAACAGAAAGAAAGGTAGGTGGTCTAGAATGGTGGTGCACTCCTGTAATCCAAGCTCTCTGGAGGCAGAGGCAGGAAGATCACAGCAAGTTCTTGTCCTCAGAGTGAGTTCCAACCAGCCAGGCCTATTATTGAAAGCTGGACTCAAAAAAAGGCAGTGAGGGTCTGAGGCCAACAGACCTGATGACCTGAGTTCAATCCCCAGAACCCACATGGTGAAGAGAGAGAGAATCAACTGCAGATTGTCCCCTGACTTACACACCATGTGCTGTGGTATACACAACCCATACACACACACACACACAC